TGTGCCCAGCGGCACACCGCCGCGCCAGCCACCAGTAGGCTCAGTGCGGGACCCAGCCCGGTCAGTCCAAGCCAGCGCCTGACCGCCCGATTCAGCCCGAGCCGGTGGTCCGGCAAGTCAGCGAACCGACCAGTTCAACCGACGGTTCGACCCAGTTTCAGTCCGAGCTATTTGGCTCGATCTTTTCCAGTCCGAGTATGTTCTAGAGAATTTTAGTAATTTTCCTAGCAAAACCAGTCTAGTCATAGCAACTAAATAAATCCGAGCATATTAGCATATAATTATATATTCCGAGCATGATACTTAGCATTATTTTGCTTAAATGTTTATGTAGCTTAAGGAGAGTCGAGCTTTCAACCACTACTCCAGTTTTGCAGCACTTGTGTCAGTTCAGTTATCAGGTGGGGGTCATGTACTGGATTCCACGTCATATATAATATTTGTACCATGACAGAGGTATGTTCGAGACAGTTAGTTTCTCCCAGGTAGAGGCCGAGGGCCTTAATATCCCATCATGGGACCCGGTGGAGGCCAAGGGCCTTAATATCCCATCGGGGTGTGCACACGAGCAGCCAAGGGCCGAGGGTCTTTTGACCATAGTAAAGCAAGAAGAGAAAGTTTGCAGATTAAGCTCTTATATATTTATGTTCATGATACGATATTATAAGAGCTGTCTTATTCAGTACTGGTCTTTGCGGAGCATAATGGTTTGCTCACGCTCCCATTGTGTTTTTCAGGAGACGGAGTCGAGCGTGCCGGATGAGCACAGACGTGGCAAAGCGTGGTCATGAAAATCTTGGACATTTTTACGCATATTTTATGTCCCAGTATTTATGATCATGTATTATTCCGATATGTATGCATGTATTTTCTGTATTTCGGATGCTTCTGCTAGTAGACTAGACAGTGCGAGACAGTTCAGACATTGCATGTTTAATTCCATTATCCGTAGCAGATAGTTTGGTTGCGTGTTTTTTATATGTCTGTGAGCAAGTTAAGTAAGTTTTTATCTGTGACATCCCGCAACCAGTTAGTATTTTCGAAAACCAAGCTCGCACGACCTTTCGAAAATAGAAGCGAAAATTTTACTCCGATTTTCAAAGCTAGTAAGGCAGGGTGTGACAGAGAGAGCGATCGATAGAGAGATACGAGAGAGTTTGAGAGAAAAAGAGGATGACTGCGAGTGAAATTGAAAGAGAAGGAAAAAGGGGTTTAACCCTATACACAATATTAGGTTTATTAGCTTGTCAACCAAGAAGAACACAAGGAAAGGGGCCGGTGCGGGTCAAAGGCACACGGCTGGTTCTTTTCGGTTTAATAATTACGATGATATACGAGGCTCGGTTATAGAACAATAATTAAAAAAATAAAACCGGGATATATATATATATTTATATTATACACACAATACTAATTTATATAATATTGATAGGCATTTAAACAATTAGACAGTTAATAATAATAATAATAATAATAATAATAATAATAATAATAATAATAATAATAATAATAATAATAATAATAATAGCAATTAAACATTTAATAATAACAATAATAATAATAATGAAAGAAATAAATAAATAATAATCCTATAAATTATTCATAAATAATCGGGTTAGATCCGGTTCACGCGATTTATCCGAAATCGTCAAACGACGAACGTTTTCCAATAAAAACTATTGAGTACTCCAACCATTTATTTAAGTCGACAACGCTACTAATAAAGTAAATATAGCCTTATAAATAATAATCGATAAATAGAATATTCCGAGAAATCCTATAAATCAAACGGGGCGCTACATAAAGGCTGCCCGGATTTGGTTAGCTGGCTGCCCCAGCTGCCCGTCCGTACTCTGACATACCACGCGCATGTCAGAGGTGGTTGTCGCTATCAACCAAAGCATTCTCGCCATGTGTCCTCTGCACATGGGATAATTATTCCTCTGAATATTCCCCTAAAATTTGGTTAGAGGCTCTTACACGCGCCTGTGACTAGGTCGATCTCCAGGATACTGACAATCCATAAAGTGGTCGATCTATTGAGATCGACTCGACTGCTCGACCACTTTACTGGTCGATCCTTCGGGTACTTGTGATATGTTGTCCGTCCTAGTCTTACAGGTCCTATCTTCAAGGTATCTTGCTCGATTATCGCTAGATTGGTTTGGCTTCCTCGCGGTAGAACCCCTTCGACCGGTTCAGCAAACCGGTTTATCCTTGCGGGTATAATATCTCATATCATATATAATTATAGATTTTGTATAAAAACAATAAAAAAAAGATTACATCTTCATCATGGAGGACAATTTCGAGATAATTCTGAAGTTTGTTTTGAAACTCTCTCTTGCTAATTCTGATGATACGAACCATGAGCATAGGCCTTTTGGTTCGCTTAACTTCACTAATTGGTCCCTATGACTCGTCCATTTTTGGTGTATTGAAGTTGGAAGACTGTAAAGAGCAAGCTTTTTTTTTTCTGCGTAGATGATAATGATAATGGATGAGTACTTATAAAATATGTAAATAATTAAAATCTGGCATAAAAAACAAAAGGTATCCAAAAAAAATAAAAGACTATTATTCAATCATTTACCTATTATTACTCGATGAAACATGGGATGAAGACGGAGAAAATATTGTAGAGATTTGCATGATATGCGAATTCCATGCAAGATGGAATTCTTTCCAATTATTCAGCAAGATATTTTGTACATAACAACTGAGAAATAGAGATTGTTATGTATAGATTGTTGTATAAATTTATGTTAATTGATGTCGTCCTAATTTTGAATTTGATTGTTGTTGATAAAAGTCGATTTAAATATGCAAATTATTTTTTTCTTTTTTTTTTTTGTGTATGTTGTATTTGGAAATTAACAATTTCATTCCTAATAGGAATCCAAATTTTGTGGTCATTGAATCAACAACGATCAAAATTTGAATTTGATTTACACAGATCTTTTTTTTTTTAACTAAGAACAAACAATATTAAAAAGCATAATACAAATGATGATTTTTTGTGGAGACTGTAAACGATTTTAACGGGAGAACAGAATAATTTGAATTGACATTTTTTTATAGATTGTTTTCCGTATTTAAAGGGAGAAATTAATTTGAAGTAGAGGGATATTTTGTACAATTTGAAATCGACGAATTTAATGCGGACATGAGATAACATTTGATATTAATACCAAGAGTTTAATGTATTTTGAACAATCAAATTTATTTCTTCCAAGCATGAATTAAGGAAACAATCGAATTTAGAGTAATGCTACATAACCAACCTAGTGTACAACTAGGTTGACAACACAAGTATAAACACTCATAAAATTAAAAATAAAAAAATACACAAGTGGATGTTTACACTTGTGTTGTCAACCTAGTTGTACACTAGGTTGACAATGTAGCATTTTTCTCGAATTTACTGCATTTTGAACAGAAAATTTAAACCAAAAGTCTTTGGGATTTATTGTTGCAAGCTAGACTTATAGAAACAATGGAATAAATTGCTACTTATAGAAAGTATTAAATGCTAAAACATTTTGACTAAAGGTTTGACTTTCTATTATTAAAAAAATGTTATTCTTTTTATATATTTATAGATAGATACCTATATAAATTACATAATAATTATTTAATAATATTAAGCAATTACTAACAATTGGGCAATTAATAGGACTAATAATAATAATAATAATAATAATAATAATAATAATAATAGCCGAAATAATAAATGGTTGATGTGATCTGCAGATTATCACGCGTGTTTGGAGCTTGGACACTGCCAAAGTCGTCAGGACACATATATCCATCAATACTCACATGTGGATGAAGAGCAAAACAATTCTCGTCCACTTGTTAAAATTATCCTTGAGTATTCATATATATCTTCCTACTCCTACAGCTTGCCATACATACCATCTCTCTAATTTACTCTTCCTCTCATCACTCACTATGGCTGATGAGTGCAACCAAGAGCTTGACTATGAGTTCCTCCCATTTATCAAAGTGTACAAAAATGGCCATGTCAAACGACTTATGGGAACCAAGACCACCCCTCCGGGCAACGATCCTCAAACCTGCGTTACCTCGAAAGACGTCACAGACATAATCCCAGAAACTGAAGTCTACGCAAGAATCTATCTCCCTACACTTGATACTACCAACACCCGCCACAAGCGCCCTCTTGTTGTTTATTTTCACGGTGGCGGGTTCTTGGTCAACACACCTTCTTCCACTATCTACCACAATCACTTAAATGACCTCGCAGCAGAATGCCGTGTTATTGTTGTGTCTGTCAACTACAGAAAGGCCCCCGAGCACCCTCTCCCAATTGCATACGAAGATTCTTGGGCTGTGTTCCAGTGGGTGGCTTCCCACTGCAACGGCGATGGACCTGAGGATCTCTTGAACCAGCACGCGGACTTTGGGCGAATATTTGTAGCAGGTGATAGTGCGGGGGGGAACATAGCCCATAACCTGGCCATGGCAGCTGGGAATCCCGATGCAGGGTTAAAAGTGGCCATTCATGGGATGGTTTTGATAGACCCGTATTTCTGGGGGTCAGACACGATTGGGTCGGAGGGGATGGAGCCAGGTATGAAGGCGTACATGGACAGGCTGTGGCCACTGGTGTGCCCTTCGTGTCCAGCGGACGATCCATGGATAAACCCGATGGCAGAGGGTGGGCTGGGCTTGGCTGGGCTCGGGTGCCGGAGGGTGCTAGTCTCGGTGGCCGAGAAGGACATATTGAAGGATAGAGGATGGCATTATTTTCAGGTGCTAAGCCGGAGTGGGTGGATGGGTATGATCGAGATCCATGAAGCGCAAGGGGAAAGGCACGTGTTTCATTTGAATGACTCGAATTGCGATAACAGCAAGGAAAGGATGAAGAGGATGGCTGATTTCTTCAACAGTTCGTTCCCTTGAGTAGTGGGTTTATGTTTAATTTTACACAAGACAAGTTGTTGCCATAACACAATCCTATGTTGTGCATCTCTTTTCATGATATGTGAAACACACATATATGTGAATGGCTTTTTGCTTCAATAGATAAAAAATTTACACATCTAACTTCAATCATGCTTATTATTTGAACAAATCACCAAATCTTTTGACAAGCCGTGGTTCCCAAAGGAGTGTCCACTTAATTGCAAGTATAGTGAACTCATACAATGCTAAAGATATTAGAAAGAGTTGATATCAGGTGCTCTAGACTCCAGATTTAGAAAACAATTGTATCCAGCATCGTACCCAGCGTCTGCACAATATTTGAGGACATCAAATTTGAGACGTGCTCTTCCAGATGTTTCTTAGCATCTTGCTTTCCCACATTGGCAATAGCTAGTTTCTCCGGGGGCAACTCGTCCTCCTCCTCAACTGCTTTATTGTATTTGATGGCTAGATTTAGCATCTCCTGCGTGTTTTCAGCCAAA